ATAAACCAAAGAGCTTGGGGCATTGGGGTGGGAATTCTGCTTCAGTCAGTTACTTGTAAAGATTTATCCCATTTTAGTCTAAAGAAGGCACATAAATAATGGGAGAAAGTGTTTTAAAGTTTAAGGATATGTTTAAATAAAAATTAGTAAAGGAAAGTGAAGAAAAGGGAGAAGGGAAGGGAGGGGAAGGGAAAGAGAGTAAAGGATTAGTAATAATTTTGTTTGGATAAATTAAAAATGAGGAAAGAGAGGGAGGGGAAGATTTTTTTTTTATTTAATTAAATAAGTTAAAGAAAAAATAATTATTAAATTAATTAAAATATTATAAATTTATATATTAAAATTAAAGTTACAATAGAAATTTTAGTTACATTTTTGAAAAAAAAAGTAAAGTAAAATAAAATAAAAGTAAATTGAACTCTCTAAATTACAGGTGGTAGACAATAAGATCTCACAGGATCAAGTAGTTTTTCCTTGTCCCCCTCCTCATGAATGGCAGAAATGGAGATCCCCACATGAATTTTTGATTGGAGGTAGATTTTGTCCTGTTATTGTTTCCTGTCAATCTACATTAAAATATGAATTTTTTAACCTATAATTAACTAATATTTAATTATAATGAACAAAATTCTAAAAGTTAAAATACAATTAACTAAAGTTTTCCAACTATAAAATCAAATATAAATTGTCCAAACATAAATAAAGATAAATTCAATATAAATAACTAAACCAATGAAATTATTCCTTATACAATAATAATAACATTTAGATTCTACCTTTGCATACGGCAAGAATACAATTAGTTGTAATAAGCAAGGTCAATGGACAAATGATAAAATCAAATATAAATTGTTCAAACAAAAATAAATATCAATCCAGCATGAATAATTCGATTGGGTTTAAAAGGTATTGATATATTGGATTAGATTAAATTTAAAATAAAATTAATATATATATATAATTTTTCATAGGGATGGGATCCCTACGAGACCTTGCGGACCGTAACCTTGTTAGACAGGAAAAATTCCCCAAATAAATTCACGAGAGAAAAACACCCTCGTCCTTACCTGTGAGGGCAATATTTTTCCCTGTTATGTTCCGTCCCCATGGCAGAAATCCCTGTAAAGTTTCACGTGAATCAAGAAAAATTGTCATCCTTACTCTAAATTGGAGGGATTAAAAATAATAGATTTGGAGGAAGTTCATTCTCACTCCATTTATCTCCCTTTCCGTCCTCCTCTTCTAATGTTATATCCAAATAAGAGAGAGAAGAAACCTCTACTCCACTCTCCTCTCCTTTTCCTTCAACTCTCTCACTCCAAACAAAGGCTAAGCTTAAATGATTACTAAATATATAACTAATATTTAATTTACTATTGAATTAAAAAAATTTTTCAAACATCCAAATGCAAATTTCAACAAGGGTCTTTTTCATTACCCTATACTGGCCTATAGTATCCTTGAAAAAGACCTATCCTCATGAAAGACATATTGTCTTTGGGATTGATGCTACACTGCTGCTGCATACCTTAGAGGGTGGGCTTTTTTATTACATAAGTGGATTTCTAATTTTTATCTCATATCATGACATGATGATTTAATGTGAGAAAATGACATTGATTTTTTTTTTTTCGAACGATGGAGAATTTGAGGGAATTGGGGTAATTTTAATTTACAGAACAAGTGTCATACTTGCAGATTAAACTCTAACAAGTCAGGTATATAATGGGTGCATTTTACCACATCAACTGAGGCGGCAAATGACATTGATTTTTAAAGGATTCTATCCATCTTGTTCTCATCCTTCCAAAAGATTCTTGCAAGTTGAAAAAACTGAGGTTATTTCAATAAGAAAAAGTGGGAGATCATTCACCCAACTAATATGAAGTTTCTTTAAGTCCTGTCTAAGCTGGGAAAATTTCTCGAGTGCGACGGAGTATTGAAAATTTGTTAGTTCATTGTTTGTGTCATAGATTTTATGTTGTTATGACTTCAAATTTATTGAGATATCAATTTTCTATACGGTCAGAATGCCATTCAAAAACATGTAACATGATACCCCTGTTACACATTGAAGACTTTAGCTAGGGCTGTAATCATGAAAACATTTTATGTTGTGGTCATCAACATTTCACGTTGAACAACTTTGTTTTTAAGGACTAGAGCGTGAGGCTTACTAAACAAAGTCGAAAATCACATAACAGGATTGAATCCATAAAATTTAGGGATGTTTATATCCGATCCAATCCGATTGATCCGACCTAAACTGATCTAATTCAATTAAAAATCGATCCAAACCAATATAAAATTGGATTGATTTGAATTCTAAAATTTTAAAACCGATATAATTTATTTGATTTATGGTTTTACTTTCAAACCGTCTGAACTGACCAATTACAAAATAAAATCTGATTAGAAGATAATTTAATTAAATAATATAACACATTTTTTGTAGTATTTTAAATTTTCTTTTTCTTATTTTACAATACTATAACTCCATTAACTTAATTAAAAAAAAATAAAAATAAAACATTTTCATATTCTCTAAGTTATTATTAAATTTTTAATTCACCTGCAACTTTATTATCTTATAACTGGTTTGCGCCTTTACTCTTAGAATCCTAAATTTCTAATTTATTCTTAAAATAATTTTATGGTTCTCCTAACTAAATTTTAAATAAGTATCATTCTAAAAGTCTTAAACTATATAATAAAATTAGTCTTAATATTCTATTATTTTTGGATATTTGGTTTAGAAGTTTTAAATTTTGATTATGAATGCTTCTAATCAATTTTAGTAATATTCATGTTAAATGTTATTCATTTTAAATAGAATTTAGAAAATGTGATTAAATTATTAGTGCATTAGGAAAAAAAATGAATTTTAATCTTCAAGAATTATTTACGTTGTGCTAGAAATTTAAAGTTATTTTTTATTATTTTTGGTGCCTCCAGTGATGTAACCAAGAATAATTTTCCGACCTTTTCAATTTTTACAAATATAAAAGAGTATAAGAATTTGTTTATAATTTTTACTTATTATTATGTTTTTACTGATTTGGATGTTAATTTATTTTATAATTATACTTTCTATTTGATGTTAAAATATTTTTACATTATCTTATATATTTAATAATATTAAAAACTGATTAATTTAACCAAACCACACCGATCCGATTTAAATTGAATTGGTTTGGTTACCGCATAATAGTGGATTGGATTGATTTAAAAATTCTATTAACTGATTAAATTGGATTGGTTTAAAAAATAATAAAATCTGAACCAAACCATACGACGAACACCCCTAATAAAATTATATACCAGTTGATACCACCTGATAGTTAGCAAAGCTTGAAACGAACCTGAGTCCACAGACACACTAACACACTGACACACAAATTCTTCAAGACGACATGGATTTTTATTTCTATATGTCAATCTCCATTACTGTTTTCTACCACTAAATGTATAGGTTACCATGTATATGTATACTGAAGGACATTTGAGTGAATCCCCCTACCTTGAAGTACAAGAAAATAATAAAGAGGAATATAATCCCTAGCTACAAAATTGAATCAAAATCGAGTAATCCTTCTGATCTTTCCTTAAACTCAGATGCAAATCCTTCAAGATGGTAGCTAGCATTCCATACCGACACATTAGCAATACTTTCACTTTGTTCCCTGGTTTTGCTGCTTTTATCTTCAGAAACCAACATCTCCATCCTCTCTAGAAGCAAATCAAAGTCATCCTGACCCTTCACCAGGCTGAGATGCACAGACCGACTCTTGGCACTAAACAAACTGCCATTACGTCCAGTGACATTCACTGATTTAAGCACTGCATTGCAATTTTCATCTTCTTCCCTCTCACATTTCAGCCGTGCAAAAGCTGCCATGCAATAGCAACATTTTATTAGTGGTTGGAATTTAGCTTCTTATGTACATCATGTTTGTTCAAGAATCGTGTCAAGGTAGGATAACATTAATTTGTTATAAGAATGACTAATAAATATGTTATGCTTCTTTGTATTAGTGCTATAGGTACCTTTCTAGTGATTTTTATTATTCCTTGTTGCAGCCTATATGGCATAGTTGAGAGTTGTAAACTTTTATTTCTCTTAATAAAACTATGCAATTTCTGTCAAAAAAAAATGTAACGCTGCTTGCTGTGTTGGATTCATATTTCTCCTTGTTTGTATCAGCTTCAAGTAAATTAAGTTCTTGTGTTGCAAACAGAGTTACCCTTCAAACTATAAATGAATCCTAGAATGATAAATTACCTGGAGAAGGTCCTCTCAGCTTCTCATAATAGGAACAGTAGAGTAGAGGATCTAGTTCCTGGACGGAGAATAGCTTGGACATGGATAAAATCCTGCTCAACTGTTTCCAACGATTCCTTATCGTCTGGTATTCAAAATAAAAAAGTTCCCTTCCTTTGCTTTCTAGTACTCCATTTAGCAGTTTCAAGACTCTTAGCTGAGTCTCTCGAGAAACACCGTAGGTACTGAGAAGCATATATGTTAGCATCCTTTGATATACAAACTCATCCTTTATTATTGCCCACCTGCAAAGAAAAGAGATTAAAGGGGCTATGAATATGGGTTTGAAGTGATAATAATATTTTTATTCTCCAATACTGAGATTAGAAGCTGTATGATCACCCAAATCTGCTGCCTGCATGTCCAGTAAGTTTGGAGAGAGTGAATATCATGAGATCTTCATCCGCAGGAGCTGGGATGGCTGTATAATGTGGCCAATAGTAGGCAAGGTCATGGATTCTCTTCATGAATGGACCTCGAAGAACTCCTTTCTTTAATTGACCATCCGGATTATTTGGTGAGGTCACAAACTCAATGAAATTCCCTTCAGAATCTATTTGATTGTTGTACAAGAAAGTATCTCCATCAAACTTATATCCTGAGGAATTAAAGAACTCCATTTGCTCCTTGTAAACTTATACCATATATAAAGAAATTCCGTCACAAAATTGTATATAAGAACATTTTAATTTGTAAAAACGGAAGAGTTATCATAATGTAAGGACGGAAAACATACAGGATAGTGTGGGGTGGAAGCTACGACCCTTGAAAGAGATGGATCAGAAGACAAAAGAGCATGAACTGCACTGCAGCATTGAGAAGTTGGGTTGCACCAGCTCCAAAAAATAATGAACCTTTCCTTCGTAACTGCATTGCCAGTAACTTCATGGAGTTTGCGGATTCGTGTCTTGAGTTCATTTGAGATCAGCAAACCATCATTGAAGTGATGGCTTATACGATGCCATCCAGGCACTGCAATGGTACCATTTGCTGCATGCTGCACCCAAAAGGGCTCTAGGAACAGAGGATCACCACTGCAATAGAAACAAGAGAAGTTATATATTTATACTAACAAAAATCAGATATATGTTACACAAAAATGAGTTGGGACCTCACAAGATTTTGTATGGATACAATTCTTGGATCATCAGGTGAAAAGCATAAAATACATACCCATGAGACATTTGATGTAATGGAAATTAAAAAGGGTTTTTGCTAGAGAAAGGATATATAATTACTTATCAGCATCAACAACACATGCCGGTAACAATTCTGAGCAGTCATGGCCTCTGTAGCATGCATTGCACTCACAAATCAGTTTCCCATCAATACTGAAGCCATCCAAGAAGGCCCGTCCATGACCTGAACACCAGATAGATGCAACAGCTCTCACTTCTGCTGCATCTTTCCCGTCCAGCTCAGGCCGTCTGCCTGGTTTCAGATAAAGAGTACTGATGTATAAAAGATTAGGAACTAACGAAAAACATAGAAAAAGTGAAAACAGGATGTTCTGAGCCTTGTCCATCTCTCTTCCTTTCAGACTCCCTTCTGTTGTTTGTGAGATGAATATGGTATGGCAGCAGGTATATAAAGGACTGATTTACTGCTTTCCTTGTACTTTACCTACCATGTTTGAGCCACTGATTAGTTACCATGGATAAGAATTAGCTTAAGGGCACGTGTGAAAAGAAACAATGATATTTGTTTTAAGGATTAGGGATGTCAAGACGACAGCTAAACAGATAAATGAAAGGTAAAACCATGCAAGAATGAAAGCCTTGTTGTTGTCACATGTGAAAAATCACAAGTTGGAGTAAAGAACTTACAAATTTGACTCTGTGAATCCTTTATTCCATTCGACGTGGATGACTATTCTTCATTGAATTCTCCCAATGGAAACCTTAGTAAGTGCTAATACAATAAGATATAAAATAAAAATAAGTTAGAATTCAATTGATAAAATTCCTGTTCAAAAATAAGTTAGAATTCAATTAATAAAATTCATGTTCTCCCTTTCAATAGTGGATGTGCCTATGACCAAGCATATTATTCTTAGGCCCACACAATTTAACTGATATTTTATTAATTTATGATTTATTTTAAACAACTAGTTATGATATCTGAAAACATATTTATATAAGGTGATTTCAATCTATTAAGTAATAAATATCAATTATTTTATCAATTATCAGTTATTCCTAATAACCGAACCGACAAAATATCAGTCAACCATCCTTCAAACAGAACCAAAGCAAGTTCTGGTTTCAAAACGTTTTTAACAAAAATGTGTCTTCCTCGTTTTACATGCAATGAAAATCTTCATTTTTCTTAAAACATTGACACAGATAAAACGTATCATTTCATGACATAGTACTAGTAGTGGAGCTCGCCATAGATTGTTTATCTTTAAGGTCATGTGTTAAATGAAACAATTATTTTTATTTTAAGACTTGGTAAATGTCAATACAGGTTAAATAGGGACCCACAAGCAGAAACTGAAAAAGATATATGGTAAAAAATAAGCTAGACTGCTCGTTTAAGATTAGGTAACACAGTAATTGCATGTGAAAGAAACATTGTATTAGAGTATTAAAATAAAACATATGTCGTCTAGTCTGACTAAGTTCTTATTCTCCCCATCTTACCATAAGTCTTTCCTAGGAAGTTAGATAATGTTTCAAACAATTGTAAAGTTTTTGCCTGCTAATTTGCCTTTTTCCCTGAAGCTTCATGTCCAATACTAGTCAGAAAATCTCCTATTTAGGATTAACTTTGTTTCCCAAAAAATGGTACCATGAAAAGATATGTTATGAAGCACATCATTTCAGTGTTATTTAGAGAACACAGAAAATTTTAACAATACTTCCCCCTCTTAGGCAATTTGTCGAACAACTTTCATGCAATACACAGTACTTTTCCTAAAACACACTCTAAAAAATAAATAACCAACAACATAAATCCATGATCGAATTCACAGAAGTTTGGAGGAAAATTACCTGTCTTTTGGTCATCTCTGATTGTGCCTCTAAGAGCCACTTGTTGCAGTGTTGCTAACTACTGAAGAATCGACCATTTTTGCAGTCCAGACTGTACGGACTACAAAACAGTATTTCGAATCCTAAATGTATGACACAATTGACACCAGTTCTGTTACTTATTTCCATTATTTAAAGAACCATATACAATAAGAGCATGATGGGAAGGTTGGTGCAGGTTCATGCTTCAATTTCTTTTAAGTACTCATGAATAGGTACAAAATCATGATGGAGCAAAAGTAAAGGAGAAATAAGAAGGTAAGTGAAGAGCAATTCCATCTCTGATAATAGCAAAGAGCTATAGAGAAAGAAACTGAAAAACGCTGAAAACAACAAAGCAAATATATTGAACTTTTAGCAGCGACGTCAATCTTGCTTGATAGACAATGACTTCTTATTTCCTGGTTGCCTTTCTGCTAGCATTTGCTTCATCTTTTCAAGAACAGCGAAGAAAATTGAACCTCCAAGACCTAGCCACACCACCCTAGGTCCAATACCCTGAGACAAATGATTGGAAGTAAAGTTAATCAGCTGCAAGCCTGCAACTGCCTTTAGGAGTCATCAGTCATCGGTTGTTTGTGTTTAAATTTTTTACTTCCCTGATAAAATTTCATATTTGCAACACAACATGACCTTCAAATTAATATTTTCTTGATTGATAATAGCACATTGCCCACAACTTAAAGTACTCTAGTCAGATACTTGATTGCAAGTCCATGTAAGAAAAGACCATAGCAGGAAGGGAGAATTTGTAAGAAAAGAGCAACATTATTAAATAAGAGGAGGCATAAACACAGAAATATGAAATGTTCAAACCTTGAAAAGAGCATGGCTTCCTTCTTCCCTCATTATAGTCCTTGCACAGTCAAAAATCCCATTGTACTGCTTTACTGATCCCTGGAAAGATTTATGAAGAAGAGCATAAGCTCAAGAAGAAACTTCTATGCCTTTCAACCAAATAAGAGGAAATATATTATATATTAACTGTACCTGAACCATTAATCTAGTTTTTATCACATCAAGAGGAGTAGTAATGGCTCCAGTTATGGCACCTGTATATAAATCAAGTTAAATTGATGAGATTCTCACAAAAGCATGACATTCTACCCTGAGGAGATGTTACTCACATCATGTTTCCTGTAATAAAAAGTACCAAGGTATTTTGAGTTTTCTGGAATCAGTCAAAATCTACATCAAGCTAATAACTACTGTACCTAGTTACATAATTCTAGGTGCAAAAGATAAATGAAATGAGAAACTTTGACGATAGTTATATTACCAGCAAAAGCACCAAGAATAGCATTCTCAGGATCACTGAGATCTCTTTTTGCCTGTAAGAGAGACAATGACATTACTTTCAGCATAATTTATTTGCTACATTACATTAGGTGCAGCTGAGGTTTTCTCAGCTATATTATAGCAGGGTTCTGTATATATGAATGCATGTTGCAGTAGGCAGTAAGTTGCTAGAACAAAAATATACAAGTTTTTCTCTGTTACAATACAAGTTCACAAAAGTTCTACTGTTGCTGCAGCAATAATAATTTATGGGACATTTATGATGCATCAAATAATATCCAGAATTACTTTATGTCAAACAATAGGAATTATAGAGCTCACAGCTAGCTTATATCCTATGTGTAGTTGCTCATAGATGCAAAATTGAACAGCATCAAAGGGCAAATCTCGCAATAAGAAGGATCCATAGCCCTACAATATTAGAAAGAGATGTTAGGCTTGTGCAAAAGAGCATTTTAAAATGAGGAGATAGCATCTACACAACCAATAAAAGGACACCAGCAAATGGCAATCATATATAAAATATACAAATGGCTTGTTTAGAAACTGAAGCTTAGCATCATCCAGTATATACAACATCAGACAAGTCTAAGTGTCTAGCACAAAAAAATTCTTGGCATTAATTGAATGTTCAAAATCACAGCCTTCTTTTCTTTTTCTGTTTACTCTCTATGAGAACATTCAATATTAAAGGAAGAAAACTATGGGACTAACACCCCAGACTCCTGCTTCAATAATAAAATTTCAAAATTAGAACTAGGCTCGCGTACCGCATAAAGACCATTAAAACCTTCATTGGAAACAATAACACGTACAGCCTCAGGGGCAGAAGCAAATTGCCCAGTTTGCATCCTTTGCTTAAGAACCTGGAAAATATGAAATGAACATGGGGAAACAGAAAAATAGTAAACAAGAGGACAGGAAGAAAGTGGAAACGAAATGCTAAGTCTAACTCTACCTCCACAGGAACACGAATAATGGAAGAAGCTGCACCTCCTAGGGCACCTCCTAGAGCACTTGCTGTCTGAATAAAGTCTTAAAATCAAAATTATTTAAGAAGAAGGATACATACACCATATTTATCAAGTACAAAGGCTTTTTAATTTAGTAAAGGAAAGTTTATATTATGGAAAAATGGGTTCATCACAACACAGCCAACATTAATACTCAACAAGATTGACAGTGATAGAACAATTAATAAATAACATATAACACATTCATTTTAATTGTGTTATTTGCCTTTTATCTTTTTCTTTCAATCAAAGTTGAAGTTATTTATGCCTTTTACTAGAAGTACTTCTTAGGATTAGAGTTTTTAGAATTTCATTTGATGTTCTGTCTTTAGAATCATCTTATGATTTGTGGTATATAGTTTTTTCTATGTAAATATTGGAGGCAAGAGGAGAGGAGGATTCAATCTTGGATATCTCCCTCATCATAAAGGTTCTGTGCTTGAAGTTTCTCAGCAATTGAGTATGTCCCCTCTTTTCCCTAATTTTCCTTCTCTTTCCCATTCTTTTCCCTATTCTTTGTGCTTTCTCTATGTCCTCTTCAGAGCTTCTTCCTCTGTCTGCATCAAGATCCTAACAATCAATTCTATTTTTGATTTTTAATTAAATAGCTTACCAAATGAGCAAAAGCACTGATCTTTTCAGGGAAGTCGTTTAGCAGCTTCTGCCTTGTAGGTTCATATACACCAACATATAATGCTGAAGCCCTATGTATGATTAAAAAAAAAAAAATTGTTCACCAGCTCATATTGCTATTCAACCAAATATCCAATCTTTAGGAACATGAATAGATAATAAAGACTGGGATTCGTTATTTAATAATCAGGGCAATACTAGTAGACCATTGTCTCTCACATATGCAAACATGCAAACAAGAAGAGTGTGAACAAGGCAAGACCAATTGTTGAGTTGGGGTTATAAGGCATAGAGTTCATTTAGTTCTTTTACTAGTAAAGAAAGTTGGAAGTGAATAACCAAAAATCCACATATAAGCATATCAAGTAATAGCGAGGGGCAGGAATATTCATGATAAGGGATGACGGATGAAATTCACAGAAAATAATGAAATGAAGTACTCACAAAAAGACACCGGCAACATTTTCAGCCAATCCAGAATAAAGACCCTTTAAAATGATTTTTCCTCCACCGTGAACCGCCTAACAATGGGAATAATAGACAGTCAATCACCAAAACATTTAGATATGAAATACTTTTTTCTGATAAACAACAAATGTTCAAAAATCAGTAATACTCATCCAGGGATGGGGAAGAATAGCCTTTTCAGATTCCAATCACTCAATTTCGTAAAGAACATGCACCACTAAATGCCTCAGAATAATATTTTGGATAAAGTTTACATTTCCTAACTTGACATTAGGTTCAAAAAACTCTTAAAAAGTTGTGGGGTTAGCCTAAAAACTTAGAAAACAAAAGGGAAATACTGAAAAAGTGAAAATATCAACTTACCTGCAGTCTAGTTTTTATGGTGTCAATTGGGTATAAAGCTGCTTCCGCAGCAACACCAGCAGCAGCACCAGCGATAGCACCCTCTGTAAAACCCACAACTATTCTTCAAAAAAACAGCTTCCAAAGACTGCTTAATGTTATTTGTAACATAACCCATACCACAAAAAGAGCGTAGGAAATCAAATGGCTTTTCCTCTCCTACACCATCAGGTGACAGGATTCCGTTCCTCCCCTCTTCGAAACCAGACATCGCGTGCGTAATTCCACCTGTTAAAGCATAAAAGCACGTAGCTTTTTTAAAGAATGGAACTTACAGCTTCATCGCAGCATAAACCAATGCGAAAAAAGTTTGCTAATTTACTGAAGAAGGGAGATGACTTCGAACTTGAATATCAAAATTAAAGGGGAAGAGTAATTACACCGTGGGATTATCTGAGAAGTTTTCACATTCATCGATACTGTATCTGGATTCATCAATGGCGGAATTACTTCGGAAAATGCAGGTTGCAGAACCGGCAAGTGTTTTCCTCGGAGGGCTTTTTTTTTTTTTTTTACCAGATATATATGGTTAGTAAATTAATAGAGCTAGTTTGGTAGCAGAAAGTGAAATTTCTATCCCTTATTTGAGGTGCACGAATATTAGATAGTAAATTGGTGGAGTTAATGGTGGTAGTAGTGCTCGAAACCTTCATTTCTGCCTTACTCAAGTACTAAAGCTTGGGGCCAATTAATTGGATCACATTCCCGGTTGGCTCCTCGGAGGGATTTTGTTGGGATAATTTAAAAAAATAAAATAATCACATTTAAAATTTTCTCAAATTAGAACCCACTAATTCTAACTAGAAATTAGAATCCACTAATTCTAACTATACTCAAATTGGTACCCTATACGTTGGAATCCAGAAGTATAAGCATTCATCATGTACAAGTAAATGTCAGTTTTTGGAATCTTTTAACATTCTCCATCCCCTCTTTCTATGAGCACATGCTCTCTCCTCCCATTGACTAAGAAATTGTTGTGAGATATTATGATTGTAGTTATGGTTTTTTAATATTTTATTATAAAATGTATATTATTATTTAATAATTATTTTTAAAAAAATATTATATCATTAAATTATATAGAATATTAAGTAAGATGAATTTAATCATGATAATTTTTATAAAGTGTTGTATAAAAAAATTATAAAAAAGTAACTCCAAATACTATTTAAAGCTTTATTTTTTAAAAAAATTAGTGTATCTACAATTATTTCACATAATTTTACGTGTAATTTAATAATTTATTTTTTATGTTATTAAAATTATAAAGTTTGTAATTTTATATACATTAATTAATTTAATAGTATGCAACAATTATAAAAAAATAATTTTGTAAAAAAAAAAGTTAGGCACATATCATGATCTTGTAGAAAAAGTTAAAATAATTTTTTTTAATCTATCCTAAATATTCCCTTCATACAAACGCAACCTAAAAGTCAAATATAGAAAAAAAAAAAGAGAATACAATTGACTAGTAAGCAAATTCCAACGAAAGGGTTTGATTATTTTGTACCTTCAAGGATAAGACAAAAAACAATAATTAAATAATAATTATGATATAAAATTATTTTTAAAAAAAAAGCAAGGAAAACAAAATGCATTAAAAGCCTAATCCAAAGTTCAGCTAATTTGACCAAAATTGTGGCTGGAAATTGTGATCTAAATACCTTTAACGAGTTGTTGACCCAAAAAAAATACTACTCCTACCTTCAACGAGATAACCAATTTCTCTTATCTCATGTCTATCACTACATTTATTCTTATGGGTCGAACTTTTTTTTTTTTTTTTTTTTCTAAACAGAAGTAATTATAATGTTATATTAATATTTGTTTAAGAAAAATTAGGTTTGAAACTCAACTTGAGGAATGGATGCGTTTCATTTATTTTTTACTTTAAATAAACGTGACCACCATTATAAATACGTGAGAAAATGCATTCTCATGAGTGGAACTTTGTCTATTTATTTATTTATAATGGGAACACACAAGGCAAGTTGAATAGATGAAATTCAAATTAAAAGGAGTAAGTACTACTAGCTTATTAATTAAAACATTAAAATATAAAATTTAAATTACCAATCATATCTTGACGAAGTGATTAAAAGTTTAAAATAGAAGCCGTCCTTTATTTAAATTTGAAGTTAAAGTCTTGTTAGATTTGTTGCTCATTTTAAGCAATTAAGAACTAATCAAAGCAACAAAATTAAAGTCGTCCAAAATATACATGTTTTATATGTTCTTTAATTGATCGATGTTTACTCAAATTTATTTTAAAATAATATTATATAGGTCAAATTATAAAATAAAAATAATTAAGTTCATAAAAAATAAATTTATAATATTTAAAAAGATTTATTTAATTTGTGCTTTTAACATGTTAATGGTGTAATTACTACACTTTTTATATTAATTAATATAAAAAATAACAAAAATTAATGTTAATTTTATCACCAATATTATATACACTTTTTATATTAATTAATATAAAAAATAACAAAAATTGATATTAATTTTATCATCAATATTATATGTATTATTTGAATTAAATAATTGATTAAATAAATATTAAATGATATTTTTAAT